CGTTTTATAATTTGATATGAATATTGTTTCATGAAGCTTATTCTGCTAAAATATGTCGTAATACTCGCTTATTATAACGTTCTCACATCAATCAGCCATAAGTAACCTAGAACGTGGAACATACATGTGTCGGTTCATGTCGCCACACCATATCAGCACAACTAAATAAAATTATCGGAATATATGTTGGAGTAGTAAAATTCAGGATCTAAAGGAAATGCAAAATGTGGATTTATTTGCACTATTGAAATCAATATTCTTTATCACTAAGTGTTGGTCACGATAATTGTTAAACTCCAACCAAGTAGTCGGCAGGTACCAACATGCTTCATTTCAATAATAAATGACTTGATAGTTTAGCTGCTCCTATCTTTCTTCCAACCGACTAAGTGTTTTCACATGATTTTGTATTGAGGAAAAAATATATATGTAATCACATATTTCTAAAAAGAAATTCTAACTACCTACTTACATCTTAGTAACCATTTTTAAAAATCTGATTCTACTTGAATTCGTATCATTTTAATAGAATCCTTTTAAAACGGAAAGGATAGTTTCATTCGAATTAACAAGTTTCAGGATAAAACAAATTCTAATCACATAATTGGTTCAATAAACTAATCACTGATTGAAATCATGAGTCAATTGAAACTAGACCACCATAGAAAACTTGGAAACACTGGACACACGTTTCGTCCTAGTATGGGACATTAACACCGTTGGATGACGGCCGGCTCAATGGTCTATTTGGTTAAGCGCCTGGCGCGAGACTGATGGGTCCTGGGTTTAGATACCAGGGGGGCGAGATCGTGGGTTCGCATTGCTGAGGCATCCCGTACTAGGACGAAATGGCTGTCCAGGTTTTCCATGGTGGTCTAGCTTCAATTGACTCATGATTTCAATCAGTGAACTTTCTAAAATCTCCACAAAACCTCTTCTGATAATAATCACTGATCAATAAGATCACTTTATAAGCTATCAGTTTTCTTTGTGATTACATGATAGAATCAGCAAAAGTTAATCGGATTGAACATGATAACTCTGATTGATCATAAAGAAAAGCAATTAAATAAGACATTCTTATGTTACCGTCGAACAATGAATTACGATAAAATAAAATCAATGCGTGTATCATTTAATAAACGAACATAACACATCCGAAAAACGAATAAAGAGAACAAAATTGCAAAAAAATTTGAACGTTTTTTTCATCAATCTGTTGTTTATAAATTAAACTGTACACTTGGATATCATTTAATCAGCATTACTTATACCTGTTACTTCCAATGGAGCATAGGCAGCCGACCAGGATTCTCCAACCCACTCTGTCTCGGGCATTCCTTTCTACTTCTATCCAATTTTTGTCCATTGTTTGCATATCTATATCCATTTCTCGACGTGATATGTTCTTTCTTCTTCCTATTCTCCTTTGGACTTGAGGTTCCAAGTGAGGGTTTGGCTTGTGACGCAGTTGAGTGCACCTACAGCAGGTTGTTGCTGGTAGTATCTGGTCAACGGAGCCGAAGTATTTTGTGTAGACAATTGTTAATAAACACTTGTATCTTCTGGATGATGGTTTTCGTAGTTCTCCAGGTTTCCGCCCTATACAGCAAAACTGTCTTGACATTTGTGTTGAAAATTCTGACTTTGGTGTTGACTTACAGACAGTTGTATTGATTTCCAGGTGTTCGTCAATTGTGGATATGCTGCTCTTACTTTGCCGATTCGCTCCTTCACATCTGCATCAGATCCACCATGTTCATCAATGATGCTGCGCAGATATGTAAATGTGTTTACATCCTCCAAAGCTCCATCAAGTGTAATTTGATCGGTGCATCCTGTGTTGTACCAACACGAACTCCACAAAGTGATATATGTAGCTGAAGATTAGATACCAATTAGAATATTAGTTAAACGGATTACATCTATCAGGACAGTAAATAAGAAAAATCGGTTCGGCGAATTCATTTTCAAAGCTGTACAATCGCATATATATACTTATTTTTTTTCAGGATGATAATAATTACAATAATAATGATAATAAACTTTTGTTAGACATAGTGAAAGTGAGGTAGAATAAACAAGTTATTGAAAAAATTTTTAAACAGGGAAACTAATAATCGTTTGATTCTTAATAGTTCAAATATTCATCAAAAGACAGATAGGGAAATCATCGTTGGCAAAATGGTAGCAGCCTCTGCATTAATAGGCCTCAACATTCCCAAGAGAAAAACCAAGATCCTCAAATAAAACACGGGAAACACCAACCCAATCACGCTTGATGGAGAAGAGGTGGAAACTTTCACTTACCCAGACAGCATCATCGATGAACATGGAGGATTTGATACAGACGAAAAGGTAAGGGTTAGCAAAGTAAGAAGAGCATTCCTACAATCGAAGAACATATGGAACTCAAAATAACTGTCAACCAACATCAAAGTCACAATCTTCAACATCACCATCGAGACAGTTCTACTATAGCTAGATGAAACTTGGAGAACTACTACAACCGTCATCAAAATATTACATTTATTTCTAAACAATTGTCTACACAAGATACTCAATATCTGTTGGTCGAATACCATCAACAACAGTTTACTGTGGGAGAGAACAAACTAGCTTCGAGCTGATTAGGAAATTAGGAAAAGACGTTGGGAGTGGATAGGACATATATTAAGGAAATCATCAAACTGTATCACGAAGCAAGCGCTAACTTGGAATCGTGAAGGGGAACGGGAAAGAGGAAGGCCAATGAATACGATACGTTGGTAATCAGAAGTAGACAAGAAGAGGATGAGTAGCAACTGGAAACAGCTGGAATGAATAGCGGAGGACATAGTTCGATGGAGAATGCTGGTTGGCGGCCTATACTCCTCCATGAGGAGTAACAGGCGTAAATAAGTAAGTAAAGGACGACTCAGCATGACAAGATATAATTTTGAAATTGAGATTAAATGTAATCAGTAGGATCATAGGAAAAGAAATAGAACAGTTGAGGGTAGAAGGTTTAAGGAGAAAATGGAAGGGGAAGTAGATGGTTATAAAGGAAAAACAGTATGCTTTGAACTATCCACAAGGGTAATATGTTCACTAATTTACTATTTATTAAAATTGTTTCAACTTAAATAAGAACTATTGTTTTAATAATCATAAAGAGACATAGACATAGTCAGTATATTATATTATGTTAATGCACAGATTCATGGTGGATTCTTATCAGTTATAAGAAGATTAGAAGAATGATTTAATAAAGTGAATGGTTGCTTCATCAATTTTAATTTATATGAATTCTTTTACCTTAATTAATCACATTTTGAATCTGAAAAAAAGATGACTATAGTGGAAAATACATCTAAACTATTCTTGATCTATTAAATCTATCAATTATTTCAATTACATTCACTTATGTGTCGTTTTACTGGTATCACCGCATTGTTATATGTACATCGTGTGCGGGGATTGCCTCAATATATCCTAAGTCACAGGCTAGCGTCTGATGGGATCACCGGGTAAGTAATAGTGAGGTTAGATAAACGGATATAAGGAATTAGGTATTAGGAATGATGGTAAATCAGTTGATGACGTTGTGAATCTTCATCGACTCAGATGGTTGGGCCACGTGTTACGTATGCCTGAACATCGATTACCACCACGTGCGATGCTAACCGGTGTTCGGGATGGTTGGAAGAAAGTTATAGGCGGCCAAACAAAAACGTGGCATCAGTGCTTGAAGACACTAACTTCTAGTCTGAGCCATGTTGGTAGATGCAGACTACTTGGTTGGGGTCCGCGTGACTATCGTAACCAATGGTTGGAGACTTTGTGTGACATGATTCACAGTCGATCACAATGGCGTCAGTGTATACACTCTCTGTCTTCCCTTAAACTAAGAGATTAAAATCACTTCATATCTTTCTTTCTACCAACTAATTCTTTCTTCCTCAATTATATCCTTATATGCAATCTTTGTTTTATATATTACCACTTCTGAATTAACTACTTTTATGAATCCGGTGTCCATCTTGCTGCGTTAATGAGGTATGGCAAACTGGACCGATACATATATGTGCCTGGTCCTACGTTGTAGCTGACTGACTGACTGACACAAGCTGTTTAAGCAAAGATTAGTAGTGGAATCCACTGTGATGCGCGTTTCCTCCTATTTGGGACTTATCAACTGGATGTACCTGCATCTCAAAGTTCATGTTCACTCTAGGCCTCAAACCCAGTACCGTTCATTTCAAATGCCATCACGTTATCCACCTAGCTACTAAGTCCTGATAGCCACCTGATTTTGCAATAATAGTGTGAAGTTTTAATTCACTTGGTATTGTTTTACTTGTATCTTCCTGTTATTGTTTAACGACTCCAACTGATAAGTCTCTTATTGGCATATATACATCTTGTACAGAGATTGCCTCAATCTAACCTTAAGTTACAAATTGTTCAAGCAAAAGATAGATAATGGCTAACAATTTCACTTGATTCCCATTTCCTATTACCTAATTTTCTATCAATTTAGGTTATATTAAAATTACATGAAATTGATTATCTTATCAGAAGTAATCATTCAACATTTTCCCAATTGTTTATATGTGTCTATACACACACACACGTATGTGCGTTCACACCTATATATGTATATATTGGTACATATTTAAACAAATAGATATTTGAGTGGGTGGATCATACATTCTACCCTACACATTATTTAAATCCCAAGGTCATCACAATCGAAGTGCAAATACAATCAACAATTGATTATGATGATAAAGAAAAATAGGTAATTTGTAAATTATTTTTTTCTTAAAAGAAAAGAATCTTCATCGATCATTGGTATCATCATTTCTGTTTAACTCTAAATAGGTGATTGTATTCCCCCTTTTCTGTGTGTTTTCCTTCCCCCCCACCTTTATACAGAAAAAGAATTTTTTTTAAAATCCTATTCTGATTGGTTATAAAATCATTGTGTATCCAATTGACAATAACATGTCATTAGGGTATATGTGTTGCACAATTGATTATTATTTCTTTTCTTCTTATTACTATTATAAATTCCATTTGATCCTATTTATTTTCATTATTGAAATCATTCACAGTATTCATTATTCATTGTAGTGATACGTTCACTTTAGTGCAATTCAATTCAATCTTCATAACAGGATCTATTCTGAATTAATCATAAGAAGTAACTTTAGTTTTCATTATATAAAAGAAAAAGTCCTAATAATAATAATAAAAAATGGATGGAATTAAAAAGAAAATGATTGCAATGAAATTAGAGAAGGAGAATGCAATGGAAAGGTTAGTTGTGTAATAATAATAATAATAATAATATGTCATTGTTATAAATAACATGATTACAATGTGTAATGTACTTGTTATTGAAACGAATTGATATGTGTTGAATAACTCTACTACTATATTAGTCAATTTCAATCAATAGTTATAACTTAATGACCAGCAACTGTAGTTGTTCCAACTATATGAGAGATCAGTTACAGTTAGATTAGCTCAGTGATAACGTCCGATAATGATATCATTATACTTATTATTATTAAAATCTTTCCACATACGAAATAAGCACGTACTCATATATATATGCAAAGATATACAATGTTTTCATATCATAATCATCAGTCAGTCAGTCAGTCAGCTACAACATAAGATCAGGCATATATATGCATCGATCCATACCTCATTAGCACAACAAGATGAACACTGGATTCATAGATGTAGTTAATTCAATGGTGATAATATATAAATGAAAGATTTTATATCAGGGTATAATACAGGAAGAAAGAATTAGTTCATATATCAAATGGATTCAATAAAGGTGATCGTAAACATTATTTAAAACATTTTTTTTAAACAAAAAAATCCCTTTAATGTTCAATTTTATCAAACAAAAAAAGATGCTTAAATTGGTTGAAACAGTGTTTTTCACTTTGATTTGTATCATCTATAGACTTCAATGAATGACTAAATCTAATTTCAAGTTTACATGTATCACTAATTAGAAGTTAAGTTAACAATTTTGAATGAGTCAATTGAAGCTAGACCACCATGGAAAACCTGGAAGCACTGGACGGCTCCTTTTAATAATAATCATCTGCTCACTAGTGATTGTTTGCAAGAGGTATTTCCTGGAGTTCTAGTGAGAAATCGTTACCAGTGGAGTTCAGTCAGGTCTGTTGTGAGATATCAACTCGCTGAAGACAATGGTGTATGCTGGCGCGACTTTGTAGATTAGTTGAAGTCAGATATTAACACCGTTGGATGCCGGCCGGCTCAGTGGTCTAGTTGGTTAATTGCCTGGCGTGAGACTGATAGGTCCTGGGTTCGAATCTCGCGGGGTGCGGGATCGTGGATGCGCACTGTTGAGGAGTCCCATACTAAGACGAAACGATCGTCCAGTGCTTCCAGGTTTTCTGTGGTGGTCTAACTTCAATTGACTCATGATTTCAATCTGTGAAATTTCTAAAATCCCCACAAAAATCCCTTCTGATAATTTTAAATGAATAGAAAATTCATCTTTCTACATGATGAAATGTTATATTTCCATTAATTTTATTATGAAAATAAAAACATTGTTTTTCTATTTATTGAATGACTTGGACTAAGTAATCACTTGGACATAGCAACAATTAAAATTGTTCTTAAGATATAAACTCTTTATTCATCCTGTTAAATTTTTTTCATTTTATTTATTATTTAGAGCAGTACAATATGAAGAATTACTTAAAAAGAAAGAAGAAGAACGTGAAAAACGTGAAAGTGAAATTGCTGAATTAAATACTAAAATGAAACAAGCACAAATTGATTGTGATGAAGTACAAGAAACATTACAAGAACAAATGAATAAATTAGAGGAAACTGACAAACGTGCTACTAATGTAAGTTGATAACAACTTTTAACTATATAATATATAAATGATTGTTATTTGGATTCATATAAAGATGTTTCAGTGACTGGTTATTATGATTGCAAATGAACTAGTGGTGCCAACCTTTCGGTCACAAGTTCGAGTTCAACTTGATTCAATCATCTTTAAGCATTTCGGTAGTGCAACCAACTTTTATACCTGAAGTGCAATTCAAGATCACGTATACAAATTGTTACTTAGCAAATAGGGTATGATAGAGTTTGTAAATATTATTACTACACCATGACTAAAAGGGATGAAAAAGCAACTTTCAATTAAGATTTCATTAAATTCAAGTTTAAGCATTCGAAGAAATGCTAAGAATGATGTCAAGATTTAGGAATAATGTGTTTCATCGTTAAAAAATAAACTAACACTCTGACAATAATAATTACATGCACTCTCTTGACATCAATGGGCTTTCAATAGGTCATTAAATGTCACGTACTAAAAGATAAATAAAACGACATTCGGTCGAAGGATCTCTTTGCAACAAATTTATCATCAAGCTGTACAATCGTATATACATTTGGAAACCTTTTCTTAAATCTAGTATCATTATTTTTTATTACATCATCATGCTTATTCCTTGTTTATGTGTCTTCATGAAACAAATAGTTCGACAAAAAATCTACATAAATTCACACAGAATTTAATTACAGTGAGAATAATCTACCACCGTAACTGGTTATAGCTACAGACTTTAAAATGAGACCATTGAGCTTAAGCAGTTTGCAAAAACTGGGAGGTTCGGCTACGTGAGTAAATGAGATTGTAAACCTGCGACAAGTAGTGAGAATGATTTCTTTTTCATTTATACTGTGCATAACTCCATGATTCAGAAAATTGGTAGTGTGAAATAATTCACAATAATCACTAGAACAACACACTATGTTTTAACTGATTCCAGATAATCAGTAGGAAACCCCGAACTTATGTATCGTGCTAGTTGGCACTCCTCAGTAAGGCCTACCTATAATCATAAGGGAACTGGTGTTACCTGTGGGATTCGGATACTCGCCACCAAGCTTCACTATCGTTACCAGACGTTACCACGGAGCTAATCTGTCTGCAACTGACCTGCCATATAGTTGGGATGTTTATAGTTGCTGGTCATCAAGTAATAACCATTGATTGAAATTTACTAACATAGTAGTAGAGTCATCCAATGTATACCAAATATTTAAATAAATGATTCGGCAATCCTTTAAACTTTCCGTTAAAAATTTAACCGCTTGAGCCGAAATAAAGTTGCCGTTAACGAAACGTATTCAGTCACTTAGTCATGGTCATTTCTTTAGTATTTGTTTCTTTTGTTGTCATTACTAACGATGGTACCGCATCAAAATTCCAACCTCAATACTCGCTTTGACATTATAGATGTGCTGCATTTTCTGAACTGTGTGGTTTAGTTGTGATGTTCGTCTATCGTTTTAGCACTTTTTCGACAATTCGTGCTTCTGAAAATACACTGAACAACTGCTTATATTTCTGGGTGATCAACAATTAAATTCATAAGCTGTGTTCTGTTGTAAGACATACTTTTTGCTCCGGTGGTTACACCTCGTTCTATTGATAGGGACTAGACCAGCAACGAATAGTTCTTTATTTAGATCGTGTGACAGCACACAGTGGAGTGCAATATTACCTCTTCAAACACAAAAAGCTTTCAACGTTCAACATAAAATAATAGGAGATATAGTCTTCATACAAAATAAGGAAGTGAGTGAATACTTAAGCGTTTCTGTCTTGATATTTGCTTAGATGTTTTCAGTCAACCCTTAATCAATCAACCTAAGTTTTTATAGACCTAAGTTTTTTTAAAACTATTTTGCTCAAGGTTTAAAATAAAATAATATCATTTAAATGATCAAGCATCCACATTCCTTACATGTTACATATGGTTATCTTGAAAAAGATTCCGTGGAAATAGTCATCTGGTTGATATTAGTCTTCAGCAGTAAGGAAAGGAAATCAATCAACCTATGTTAATCACTGAAATTTGTAGTACTGTAATGATCATATCTCCTTTTGAATGTATTAACAGAAGGTGCTGGTATTACGTGTTGTGATAAAGATTTCCACCAATTCAATACCCGGTGCATAAACTATTGGGTCTCAGTTTTTGAGCTTTATACAAACGTTCTCTCAAAAGACCAATTCTAAGTAAAAGAAAAAGAAATGATATAGTGGTACCAAAATCATCGTATTAGATCATCTCATAACCTGTGGTAATATAAAAGAAGTAGGTTGAGCTATCCTAGTTCTGTCCTCTTACGATGGGTCAGAGAGGCCTTTCGATATTGTGGTTCCACGCTGTTGAACTTATTCTATCATATCAATCTCATACTTAAAACAAGGACTCGCTGATTGTATCCCATATTCCAGATGCAGACAGACGGAATTTGAGCACAATCCCTAAACATTTCTTCGTCAAAGTAATGAAATGGCTTATAAGCTGCCTACAAGTTCCTGAAGCCTTCAGCAGCAGCAGTCTTACAGTTACCCCTCACTTAAAGGTCGTTGCTTATTATGACCCCTAGATCTTTATAATTCATTTCTTTAGGTTGCAGCACTTGTTGTGCCATTCAATTGCACCGTAACTTTCTAAATAGAATTATTATTTTGACAACCCGTACATTAATTCCACTATTAAATGTTGGTTGCTTTGTAAAAGTATCATTTTTTATATTTAGTGCATGGGTCTCAAAATCTTTGTCATTAGCAGGGAGTAAGACAAACGACTTTGCTACCTTCGAAGATATATTTAAATTAAGCAAAAGAAGACACCAACAAGAACTTTACATTAAAGGACTCCATTGTCTACAGATTCCTACGTCGTTGAATACTTGTTTACCGGTATACTCTGTCTACTATCCCTGAGGAAGTCAAGCACCATCTACATCATACTGAAGCTAATCTCTGATTAGATCGGTTGCCAAAATATGCCTTAGAAGGTGTTAAAATAAATTTTTAGTATCTCGAAAATTTATTTAACATTAAAACATTCAGACATCTCAAGGTTGCGTAAAGAGGTACACTTGTCTGTCGCGCTACATCTTTAGCAATGATGGGTGAATCAAATGTTGCGACTGTCGTTAAGAAGAAAATCAAGGAGATGCAAACCGAGTTAGAAAAATTACAGTTTGATGTTATCACAGAAGATGAAATACTGAGACAAGAGACAGCCTTGCGTGAAAAGGTATGAATGATAACTGTAGACAGTTATATATCGAGAAATGTAATATATTATTACTATGATTCTCAATTAAAACAAATCCAATGCACTTCTGTTTTTAATCTCTGGTCTTTGCTAACGTTAGCCGCTGCAATTAGAATACTGAAAAGTTATGACATCTCCATAAGTCTTCGAAATTATTTATGTATAACAATTCATTATATCTTAAACATATAGTCTAACCTTTCTATCTGATCAATCTCGTCCACAGTATTGTTATTCCAATTAAAAACTTTTCTGAGCATGTAACGTGTCAAACGTTATTAATATTTTTTAGTAGATTGTTCAAGAAAATGTAGGATACACTAATTAAACCTACTGATAAAAGAACTAACGCAAATGTACAACCATCCATTCTCAAAGGGGACTACTATAAATTAGTGGTTTCTACAACATGGGTATATGAGAGTACCATTCTTGGTACGTACTTGTTAATTTCTAATCAAAGTTTAATGTTGGACTTTTCAAGCCAAGTTTTAAATTATTTTTTAGCTTGTGTACCCCGTGTGCACTTTCTTATTTGGCACATTTTATAGTTTTCTCTTTGTCGCTTTTTCAGGCTGAAGCTGAAGTGGCAGCGATGACTCGTAGAATTCGCTTGTTAGAGGAAGATCTTGAAGTTTCTTCAAGCCGTCTAACTGAAACATTGACCAAGTTAGAGGAAGCAAGTAAAACTGCAGAGGAAAGTGAACGGTAAGCGTTCGTGGCAAGTATTCTCACTTGTTCACCTTTTTCGCATGCATAATTTTAACGTAATTTTTTGCATGTATGCATGCAGTGCGTGGCGTCAAGTTCAAAATAAAATGGACACGTACGACAAGAAAGTAGAGCAGCTACAGAAAGCTGTCGAGGACGCAACAGAAGCTGCTAAGGAAACTGATAAGAAATATAAAGAGGTAGAGATTTTAGAAGATTTGTTAGGTTTTTTAATGTCTATATATTAATCCCACACTTTCTTTAATTTAATAACCTGCACATAGTGGACGAAAAGACCTTGAAATTCGTTCGATTGCTGATGATGAGCGGCTTAACCAACTGGAGGATCAACAAAAAGAAGCCAAGTATATTGCCGAGGATGCAGACCGTAAATATGACGAGGTGAGTCCTGGATACTTTATGAGGCACATATTCACTGTGTTGTAGATATGGCGAAATGGGTATTGTAAGCATGGTTTTTAATGATATCTGGTTTAATAGTATAAGAGCATGAAAAATCGTAGTGTTATATCAACCTTGATGGGCTGATTGCTCATGAAGCCTCACTGTATAATAGATTTATTTGTCAGCCAACACCATCCGTGGCGTTGGTAAAGCATATGGGAAGTTATTAGATGCATTAAAATAATGTGTATATATACATCATTGATATCCAGTCACAGGTATCTTTTCAATAGTGCCTGAAATTTAGTGAAATATTTCACCAGACAATATTAGTTTCAGGTGCAATTTTAAATGCAAGGAATGTTAGTCGACTAGCTGTAAGTCTGCACTGACTACGACTTATTATTGCTACACATCCCAACCGATCATCTGCTACGACCTGGAATCTCATCTGAATTAGTCACAGTTCAGATAAAAACATCTTGTCTGTCCGTGAAGTAACTGTCGTGTAGACAAGTATATACATCCTGATTAAGACCTTCAAAGTGGTAGATATCAGCTATTAAATATGACAGGCATCACAATTTCAAATCGATCGCAGTGGTGTAGATGAATTTCTCTTTCCTGTGAATCCAAAATATTTCATTGTCCGTTTTTCATCTCTTCTTACTGATTCTAATATCTTTCCGTTCGTGTTAATATCCGACTTCCGTTTCGTCATAAAGTGTAGTAAATTGAGCATACACAATGTATCCTATCTCTACACTTTTTTGTTTGTTTGAAGTTACTAAATGAACTATAAAACTGAAAGTTAGTAGTCAAATGGATGTTTCACCACTATAGTACGTAAGATTAGTTAGTTAATCAGTAGAGGTACCTGTATCTTTCTGATCCATTAATATTATTCACAATGAAGTAAGTAAACTGTACTTCAAGCCACCATTTATCGACTACACATGTAATGACATTAGTCTGAAAGCCACATTTGTATGTTGTCCAAAGTATTCGGCTCCATACGTCAAAACAACTGTTATGCTCTGCCCAAGGCCAACTACACTAATCTGTATCCGGTAGACAACTTAGAGTGAGATCATGCACACTTTGGTTCTGGCTCAAATATATATGGAAAAACTCTTCAATCGTTGTGGAGCAATGTTACAATGAGGCCTACAAAAACCGTTTTCTCACAAATAAAACATTGACAAAAGCCATCATTTTTATTGAGCTTATATAATGAAAGCTGGTCATCTGTTTGATATTTAGCAATGTTACTTACCTTTCCTACACTCATTTAAGTGACTGACATCATTACCTAGCCTTTTTTACCACAACTTAAACATATTTTGTGATTTCGTACGACGGACAACGTACAACTCAATCTATAATAACTTGTGAAGGTTAATTTTATCACTTGAATGAAACTTAAAATAAATTTTAAGCTTCTAAAACACCCGAATCTGATTACTCTTCAAATCATTCTGTGTTACACTTTTATCGCTTGTTCTCAAAGATTAATACCGGACATCTTATGTGGCAATAATATAGTTAACTACAGTCTTTATAAGAAATATATTGTTGTACAAGCGATAATACTGATTATCAGTATCCTTTTAATCACATGAACGGTTGTCCTCCATCTGTTTGCCACTAGTTTGCAAGGCTAAACTCTTCCTCAAAGATGCCATTTTTTCTCTTTATTAATGGATTAATCGCCATGCTGTAGCGCTCAGGCCACCAAGGGTATAAATAAATTTTATGGACCATGGGTTGAGCCCTGACCATATGTCGTAATCACATTAATAGATGAATTAATATTCATTGGTATTATTAAAATCATACAGTTATATTTGTGTTTTGATATATTTGTTTATCACGATTGCAAGCCCTATTTGATGCTATTTTCTCTCCCTTTTTAGGCTGCACGTAAATTAGCTATTGCAGAAGTTGATTTTGAGCGTGCGGAAGCTCGTCTCGAAGCTGCAGAAAGGTAGCCAGAAACACATATATGCATCACAAGCAAACAACGTATTTCATGCATCGTCCATTATGCTGCATGGTTTTATTGTGTTTAAATAAACCTCAACAACTGTCTTGAAATTATTATTACTATTCGTGCTAAGTATTTGTAGTTTTTGTGCATTTATTAACCGCATGTCTTTCTCTTTGTTTCGTATTAAAAATGTCTTCCACTCCGTTACCATACTCTGCACTTTATAATAACTGCCTGTGAATTTGTTCAAATCACCTGAAGATCTCTTGTACACTGGCCTTAACTGAGAAGAATTTAGCTGAAGCTGAAACACGCATGGCTAAATCCGAAGAGTAAGTTTGTGTTCAGTTGTTTTTCAATCCGTTGTTAATTGTTTATTTTGTTACTCCTAAATTACTTGAGATTCTTGTTTGGTAAGGTCTTATCCACACCAAGAAAGTATTATAGCAGCAAACGTCACGTCTAAAAGGAAAGTAATGCTGTTACGTAGGTATCATTATCAAGGTTCGATTTGAAAATTTCGAATAAATTGAGAATTGGGTAGATTGTTATAAATATAATAATATATTTGTAATATCCCAACGAGTAGTAAAATTAGGTTTTCTAACGTTTCTTGACTCAGTTTAAGCCACCTCTTCAGAGAATAGATAACAAAATCAAAATTAATCCAAGCTTAAACTTGGATTACACTGAGTCACGAGACGTCAGAAAATCTAATTTTTCTATTCATTGGGATATTACAAATGCCGTTAACTGTTTCTTGGTCCAACGTCAGCGCGCTAAAAAATGTTGCTTAATGGATTTATCGTTATTAAAGTGAAAATATCAAAGTATGAACTCGACGTAGTGGTAAATTCTCAAAAAATCCATACATAATATCACCGTTTCTGTCTTAGACTGCGAGGTTACATTGGTAAGTTTTACTTTTCTCTTCCTAGTTATCTTAGATTGAATGACCTTAGAAAGTTAATAGCTAGAAGTGTCAATCACCAATACATCAGTAGATTGTAAGGTATATTTTTTATCTGATTTTAACGATGTGATCAAGGTAAACAATACAAGACAAATATCTCTGATTCCTAGACCTGTGATGAAGTGGTTATTTCATAGTCAGTTGAACTACAACTCAAAGATCCCATAACTGTTTATTTTAGCTGCTTCCCATCTATTCAATACCTTATCATTTATAATGTGAAGTTATTACAAATATACGTGGCATAATAACTTTGGTCACTATACTCTGTCTAAAAATACGATTATGTTCAAATTTCGGCCATATATATCCGATGATTGATTTTCTTATTCTGTATTTAGAAGTCGTTAGATGGTCATAATTTTGATGATTTTACTTTCAAATGTAATCATCTCCCTTTTTTTCGTCTCTGTACACAAATCTCTTTTTGGAAATAAGAAATCAATCTTAAATCTGTGACGATTTAAATAATAAGAGGGAATGGAAAAAGAATAACATTAATTGTTATGGTGCATATAACTTTCTTGACATACGAAAAGCCAGATTCTAGTCCCATCAATGTTAATAATATTATTTAAAACACCATGATTTATAGTGGAGATTAATTGCCCCTCTGTGTTATCTCCACAAAATTGATTTTATTCATTCAAAATTTTCATTCTACCAACCTCGTGTTTTTCCTCTGTAGACTTGTCACTGAACTGGAGAATACTCTAAGGGGTTTGGCAGGTAAATGGAAATCTATGGAGATTAAAAAAGAACAGGTATATACATTAATTCTTTTAGCTGATTCTTTTCATGTCAAGTTTTAATTTAGCCTACAGTAGTTTTGTTAAGATGTCTTACCACGGTGTTCGGGCATTATATACAAGAATTGAGAACTGTGGAGTGCTAGATAGCTATTTCTTCTTGATTGAACTGTGTTGTGCTTATGTAAAGATCTAATGTTGGTTTTGTGTAAGTTTGCAATTCATAAGAGCTTCCATTTGGAAAGAAAAAGACCGTACAGTGCATGTTCGGCGGTTCTTCAACTGGCAGCTATCCATGATGACAGTCAACGTCAACCTTATTTTATTTTGTCAACTCGTATCAAAGGCGATATTTTGTTTGCTAACTCAGTTGAAATGTATCCTCATTTTTTATCTAATAGAAAGTTTTCCTAGTAAATTTACATGCATAAATCTTATGGAAATTACAACTCCTATAAGCAATATCAGTTATGTAACTAGACATGTCTTAAATTTTTAACCCAGTATTCAAAATGTCTAAATCGATCCCAACAATTTATTTGAACAAAATAGTAGTGTTATACAGTTTTCGTAAGATGGAATAATAACTAAAGCAACCAATTTTCAATCTTTGAGTTCTACTTTCAAACTTTTCTCCACCTACTTCGTTTAAAGTAGCCAACTCGTGTCACTAGCATTCTCGTACAAAATATGTTATAATCTAAATCTCAGATCATTAATCTGATATTTTTTCACTGAGTTACATTGAATTATTTTGAAATAAAGATCATTGATGTAGCATACTTGGATCTTTAATTGTGGAAAATACACTTCAACTTATAATATTCACTGTTTCAATTGAAATCATCCAGATAGAAGAATTATGCATATGAATAGATACTACAGACAAATAATTCTTAAAATTTACAAGTACTCATCTGTATTGTAAGTGCAAATTATTGAAAATCGGTTTTAGTAATTTATTTGTTCGGATTAAATACACTTAAATTTTCATTACTCGTATATCCTGGGACCACCGAGTAAGTAATGTAGTTGTTAGGAAACGGGTACTAGGTAAGGATGGCAAATCAATTGACGAATTAGTGAAACTTCATCAGTTGAGATGGCTGGGACACGTGTTACGTATGCCCAACTACCGACTACCCCGACGTGCGATGTTTTACGTTGTAGGAGTAGGTTAGAAGATAGCTAGAGGCGACCAGACCAAAACATGATATAAATCCATGAAGTCACTGACAAGTCGACTGAGTCATATTGGTGGGTGTAGAATACCTGGTTGGGATCCGTGAGACGATAGAAACCGATGGTTAGAGATCATGAATGACATGGCTCAAAATCGTTTGCAATGGCGCAGGTGCATCCACTCTCTGTGTTCTCCCAAATTCTAATCTTCTGAATTCTTCATGTCCCTTCTTTTTTTCTCTTTCCAAATTTATTTCATCGTATTATACTCCTCGAATAACGTCTTCAAACCCTAATCTTTCTGATTACTGCTTATAGTTTTACTACTTCTACGACTACGGGATATGAATCGACAACTACATCTTTGTGCTAATGTGGTGTGGCAACTCGAACTGATGCATGTACGTAAGAAGTTCTACGTTGTTACTGACTAACACTTAGATTTTCATGTGACAAGGTTTAGTTTAACAATCACAATGAGTGAAACATGACACTAAAAATATTTAAAACAATCTAACTAACAAGATCTAACTGTTCAAATACCGTCTGTCACTATATATATGTAACTTTAAATAACATAATCCGATCCTTTTTACATCATTGGTTTTTTCCTCCACTTTTCTTTTATCATTTCTTTAGATAGTACATCATATTCATGTGAATATAACTTACTTTGCCAGACTTCTTTTCAGTTAGCTTTTCTTTTACCATTTTATTTAACTAAACCTGTCTGTCAATACTTTCTTGCAACCTTTTTTTGACTGCTGTTCGTTTTTTGACTTGTCTGAAAGTTTGTATGATATGTAGTATTGCATGATTAGTTTGTGTGATTGTTTATCACATATACATCGACAAATATATGCTTCTGCATCCTACACCTCTTTCAAACAAATATAGAAATGCTATATAAATAACCATCATTAATTTTTCCCTCTCAAATTTAAGCAAAATAGTAGAATTGGAAGAGGAACTACGAGTTGTTGGTAATAACATGAAAGCTCTTGAAATTTCCGAACAAGAGGTAATTTCACAATACGTATATATTTATCTGTATTGATAGTTCGACTATGTAGAAATGAGAATCTTTCTTTGCTCATTCGTTCTTTAAACAAAATTTGACAGTTTAGATAACTAAAGTGTGTAATATTTTTATTTTAGTTTAAACAGTCATATGCATTAACCTGGACAACTGAATGATAAATGTTGTCTAACCTTTGTCTTATGCTGAAAGTTGATATGGTCCATAAATTACTCAGAGTTTGACTTTTGTTGAATTATCTATCACAGCCATCAAGGTCGTTTCATTTCACCTGATCTGTGTGTAGATATGGTTTGTAAATTCATAAAGTAAGCTTCTATGTAATTACTAAGCTACGTAGTAGTCACTACCACTGTTCTAGTATTCAACATTCTTTTGGGAATTTTATACATAAAAACTGCTTGTTGCTAAGTAAAATAATTATAATTGCCACCCCACTGTGATAACGTTTGTTGATTTTCGTTTTAACACTCAATCGGGATAGTTAGATAACTGGTTAAAGCACTCAACTTTTGACCAGCAAGTCATAAGTTCGAACTCAATTCCACTTCCATTCTTTTGGCCAGACAGTCACTCGCGAAGAAGGCGTTTTCAAATCCTACCTACTGATCGTGGAAGTCGAGTGCTATAATCATTAAGTTATACACCTCCATATATTAATTTCATTCTTGATGTATTTTCACTATCATTAAACATGGTCTCAAGTGCCATTTGAAGTATGCAAGCAGTCATAACTTTTCTATTACCCACACCATCTGAGGATACTTTCTCTTGAGGTACCTAAAAAAAGAATTGAACTAGTGGCGGTCTTAGGCACTTTGAAGCGTCACCCCAGGGCTCAAGAGACAATTATTATTCTATTATTTATTTGAACACGTAAATATTGGTACAAAGGGGCACTGAATACGTGTTAGCCACACAAGTCACTTGATTTGTGCCTGTGCTATGACACCGCCTAGGTTCCCAGACCGAAGCAGGGAAGAGACAATCGCTTAAGGCCAGTCACACACGGACTTAGTTTAAGTTGTTCTTGATGTCTTATCTCTATACTTTAAAGACATTACTGCTGGCAACTGAAATCTAGTGGGTAAGTTGAGGTGCGCTACTTGTATCATAATCTTTATTAATGTGAACTGATAATTTGTTACCATGTGACTAAAATTAGGCTTTAAATGGAGTCTATACTTCACACTGATCGATAAGTTATTCAACAACATATATGAAATACATTTCTTAATGTTCTTAATGGTATGAACATGTAATAGTTTAAAATGGGTATTCTTTGTTTATAAATCTCTATAATAATCGTAATGCGGCTCATTCACCAAGTACATACTTTTGTACACAGCTTCTACCTGGATGTTCTAATCTATGTAGGTTAACCAATGTTTAAACTACTGATTGGAAGTTAAGCTTTTTTAACCAATAAGTCCCTACACCTCAATGATTAGATGGGTTTTAGTGGTGCTTCTGGGAGAGTTATGGATAATAGCCTAGTATTTTCCTTGCGTCAATAAATCTATTTGTTAGTTTGTTTTTTATTTGCTTGAAAATTATATTTCTAGTAGAATCAGCAAAATGACAGTATAGCGTATGCTGTCAAAATTAAGTAAAAAACGAAAGAGGTGGTTACCCTTTTAAAATTCAGCAAATCACTTTATTGAATATTAATTTCGCCTTCATCAGTGATTTCGTTTTAGATGGGTTCAGTAAAGTTTTTAAGTAGGAAGTATGTGACCTGTGGAATGAAACCAGTCACAAGGAAGTGGCTGATTAGTAAAATTTAAATATAGTTATCATGTGTGTCTCAAATGATACTGTGCCTATCATAAAATCCCATCGTGTAGTGTCAAGGAGGGGATTGGGTTGTTCGATATTCAATCGACTTATAAGAATTCCTCTGCTCGCTTCTCGTCGTAACCATTACTTATGTACACCTATTACCTCTTGTGGAGAATAGAACGCCAGTCAGGATTCTCCAACCTACTCTGACCTGGGATCTCTTTCCCAATTATTACCAAGTGAAATTTATTTTTATGTCCGCCTACAGTTCCAGGCTTAATGTGTTCTTTGGTCTGTCTTTTTCGCTATTGCCTTCAGGATTTTAAGTTAGGGCTTGATTGATAGTTTCCGTAATGCGTTCAGCAACTTTTCTTAATTTTCTCTTCAGCTGGAAGTTGGTTTGTCTTCTTCCACATTTGGTTGTCGCTGATGGCGTTTAGTCAACTGATTTAGAGTATCTTGCGTAGACAACTGTTTATAAATTCCTGTACTTCCTGGACAATGGCTGTAGTAGTTCTCCAAGTCCTATCTCCATACAATAGGATTGTCTTAGCATTTGTATTGAAAATTCTGACTAATGTTGCCTGACAGTTGTTTAGTGTTCCAGATGTTCTTCAATCAACGGAATACTGGCCTTGCTCTCCCAATTTGTAACCATAGCTATCTTCAAATTGGATAAATCTTTACAAAACATTTCATTCAACTGCTAATTTAGTTCATACAGATCAGGTTGGTTATTTATCGTCTTCGATATTCACTTGTTCTACTCGACATTCACCTACAAGATATATCTCCATCTCTTTGAAAATTGATCCACTTTGAAAAATTCAAACTCGAACTAGCCGGTTTCGTAATTTCATATCATATCAGTTAGCTTGATGACCATATTGGAAATTCGATCAACAGAACTCAGTTAGTACTGGTAAACAAATAAAATGATATTGACTGACTACTGTTTTTGTTCTTATCTAATGATGACAGTTTTTACCTGATCAAATGTTTACATTTGTTACTGTTGTCTTGTTTTCTATTCGGAAAAATGACTTACTGTTTTCTGTCATCTAGTCAGCCCAACGTGAAGAAAGCTATGAAGAAACAATCCGAGATTTAACAGAACGATTGAAGGCTGTAAGCCTTGTTTAGTTTGTGTGTGTGTGTGTCTGTTTGGTTATGATGAATTTATTATTTGGCATTTAATCGTTTGTTCGTAGGAATATATATGTGTGCAAATCGGTTTTGCATGTGTTTTCATATTTTTCTACATTGCATTGTTAGCCATCGATTTTTACTACTGAATGATTGTTCCACTTTTTCTCACAGAGAATGACCTTAGTACTAACTAACTGACCTTTATTCACTTCCTGTTTATTTACTTAACATTTCTTAAATACGTACTTAACACACATCTTTGCATAGACAAAATCTGTTTCGTTTTTTTTTTACATTCTACCGGACTAGTAGTTTGATCTACTTTTCATACTGGGCTTAGTTCATCCTTAGAATGTAACATTTCTAGTCTGAATATAATTATTATTATAAATGTAGACGTACACTATAAATTCACTTGGTATTGTTTGGCTTGTATCTTCCCATTGAAGTTTAAGACTACAATTGATCAGTTTGTTATTGGCATATGTGCATACTGTGCGTATGCCTCGATATTACACTATAAATCATCACAAATTATTTTTAGAACTCCATTTTGCCATGACAAACTCATTTATCTACATTTTGTTTCTCTTTCGGTCGATACATACATCTATTTTGTCTAAAATTGCATGTACTTGAAATATTCATCGATTATGCATGGCGTATTTTAGTCTGCTGAAATTGAAAAAGATTTGGAAGAACGTTTAAGTGTTTTAACTCATCATGTTAAAGAGGTAAGTTGACTTATTTATAATAGGAAAAACATATGTGTATCATGTATTTTCAGCAATAAATAAATATCGTTGGATTCTGTCAGTCAAATGAAGGAAGTCTGTTGTCTATTTCATAATCTAATAGAAATCTTTATTTTCTAATTATCTTTTTAATTATGAAGATAAAGATTACCCTAGAAACACGGAAAGATTTATGTTACATTGTTGAGGTTCAATTCTTTGTATCTGTCATTATCGCGGATTTGGATAAATATTACAACATAACTATTTAGTCAGTCAGTCAGCTACAACGTAGGACCAGGCATACATATATGCATCGGTTCAAGTTGCCATACCACATTAGCACAGCAAGATGAACACCGGATTCATAGAAGTAGTTAAGTCAGTGGTGGTGATATATAAAAGAAAGATTGTATATAAAGATATAGTACCTTACTATTACTTACCCGGTGATCCCAGCAGATGCGAGCAATATTTCTAAGGCATCTGTGGTCAAATACTAGTAGCTTGCGAATATCTTCAACTCTTGATAGCCATGTTTCGCAGACGTAAAGTAAAACGGAACGAACTGCCGCGCAGTATACTCGTCTCTTAATTGACAGACGGATATCTCGCCATAGGTGACGTAAATTGGCGAAAGCCAAACGAGCTTTTCGAATCCGTGCTGAGATTTCGCCATAAGCTCTGACTCGACTAGTAGTGTCCGAGTAAAGAGCCTTCACAAGGTTTATGTACGCCTTTCAATGACAGACTGACCGATGAAGGTAAATGTAATCCTATCCATGATTGGAATTGTGTGAAAACACTGATCGCTACTAAGTGAACTGCATAGATTGAAGGAAGTAAATTAGAACTCATGTATTAAATGCAAATCTCATGTTGATTTCAAAATATTATAGGTTGTAAACAACTGATGAGAACCTAACAAAATAAAATGAACTCATATTATTCTGTATCAATCATTGTTTTTCTTCTCTTCAAGATAATTAAGGGAACTATGTGTGTGAAATTAAACTAATATACTCAAAAGATTGATTCTTTTATTGGTACATATTATCCCAAGCTGTATGTTAACTATAGCTATGACTGACTTGTTCGTTAAACATATCATATAATAAATTAATAGTTAGTCCGGTTATTTTAGGGAAAGAGATTTCAACTATTCAAATTACTAAAATCTCCATAAAACCCCTTCTGAAAAACATAAACATTGATATTAGTTCATTTTCTTACAACAAATCCATAAACCTGTGATTTGACTTATATATCACTTTCCAATAATGTTATTGTGTTTACAACGTTAATTGAACTCATGATTTCATGTATTATAACGTTAGATTGCGGTTGACAACAATAGCTTCTTTTATGATCAATCAATATTCAGATATGATTAATTCTATTCACAAGAAGACTTGTTTTCTATTTTGCATGTGTATTTTATTTTGAAGAATCTACATTTGCATGAAATAGAATAATTATATTCAATGGTTACTTGCTCCCCTTTAGCTATCGAATGTCAGTGTTGCATCAATTTCTTACGAAAAGAAATAATCATGAGATAAACTATTGAATTAATTAACTTTTGTTAATCTATATGTATTATAAATAGGCTGAACAAAGAGCAACTGAAGCTGAACGTCAAGTATCTAAACTACAAAATGAGGTTGATCATTTGGAAGGTGGGAATTTTTTTCCTATTTCCATCTTAACTATGATAATAAAACATGCCTGTACTTATGTATAGATTATAGGATTGTGCATTGAAACATTGGTTAAAAGTATCTTGATCATAGATATTTATTTGAATGCTCTGGCATGTGTTTTTCTAAACTCCTATTATTTGTTTTTTGTTTGATCTCCATTTATCATTCTATTTGTCTATGCTTCTTCGTATTACTCGTTTCTCTCATTACCATGAAATAATAATATTCAGGCTGAATTTCGAGCTGATACTGCTGAAGCGGAAGTTAATCGACGTCTTATGGAAATAAAGAAAGCAAAAGGTGATTAATATGATATTTCTGATATTTTGATTTAATAAATAATATGGATTGACTTTTTTTGAAATATATTTATTACGGTGTTAGCTGTTTTTATCTGGATACTTTAAACTTCATTCCAGATGTATGCTTCTTCCTCATTGACTGGTCATGTGGTTCATTTGTCAGTGTTTGCCATCATAGTGACAGTAGTAATTCCACGACACAACGAACACCTGTGTAAAGTGGTGATTAAAACTAGTCGTCAGGACACTGTTATGTCATCAAGGTGTACCTTTAATCTTGAGGGAACTGATACTCCCTGACGAACTCGATTCTGCGTCACCCAGCTTCACAGTCAGGGGATCTTACCACTGAGATACTCGAGTTGCGACTGACCTTCTGTAAAAGTGGTATATATTTACAATTGATTGATCACTGAGTAGTAACCAATTTCACGTTTGTCAGGTCCTTCCTAGTGCAGATCAAATCCTATCGACCAAGTTGAAATGTGGCCTCTAGTCTAGATGACTTGACATGGAATACCTTCAACCACCACCTTACATTTCAACATAGTCTATGCAATGTCGAGTCACCCAGTCTAGTGGTCATATTGCAAATTTATCGATCAAATTCTATTCCATTAAAATTTCTCTAATTAGGTGAACGTAACAATATTTAACCCTTAATCAGCATTCACTTGATCCCAGTTACTACTAATTCAAATAACACAGTAAACTAGATTTGATAACAAGCGATGCCAAATACTAAAGTCAGTAAAGAAGTGGATTTCAGAGAATATATATCTAATATTAGGTAAAAATTAAAAAATTAAACATTCCGGTAGCACAATATTCAAAAACCGATTTTCACTATTCATTAGATTTCACCTGGCAGAAATATTCACTCATTGTCACTGGTTAATTATAGTCAGTGAACAAACACTGAAAAGGTACAAATATGATGAACTGTTTAATACACATATCCATTATAATTTGTCACTTGACCTTAACAGAATAGTTACATTATGGTGTTATTCAATTACTTGAATAATTTTTTCTGGTTAGCGTTGTTTTAGCGAGTTAGTTTTCTACCGGATGGGGTCGCTAACCCTATGCCCAACCCTCCTTTATCCGGGCTTGAGACCGGCAGTAGCCCCCGGAGGGACTCCAGGCGGAGTTAATGTTATTCAATGTCAAATTTTTGGAATTCACTTCATTTAAACTAAGAAATTTATTCACTTCTATTGTGAATGAGTTGAATTTAATCATATGGATAAATTTAAACAATTGTGTCAAACTTATTTTGAGAACAATTTCATAGCTGTTATATATCTAAAGCAATTAGTCCCTTTGATAAATTCCAATAGTGTGATAAGAAGACGAAGATTATTTGTCGAAGTAGTTGTTATGACTGTCTTAAGCAATACATTTCAAAATCATAACGCAAAAATAAATTACACTGTACTCTTTAGTAAGGTTAGAGTCGACTCATAATAATGTATCCATGTTTAGATAGATTTTGATGTCTTGAAAAATCAGATGTTGTGGATGCAAGTTTTTAAAACGTTTGAGTCTTACTGTACCTACATGGTTTAGAAATTTCCTTTTAAAACTAATTGTTGTTGAATTCTTTGATTGTACTGTGTATTCTACCAGTTATTTACCATCATGTTATCTTTACGTAGATTCACTTTCCCATTGATTATTATGTTAGATTGACCTGATTATCTACATTTAATAGATTATTCTAAGTCATTTACGATGAAGTTACAGTGTAAGCTGATAACGCCATACCGTACAATTTAACTACAAATTGATGTGCCTATACAGTTTCTGTTAAACACACCGTATTTTCGTATAAATATATATCTTACATTAATAAGATTTTCAATAATTAATCTCAATAAATTTGTCTTCTTGTTTAGAACGTATAATTACGGAACGTACTATGTATGAAACATTACGCAAAGAAATGGATACAATGATCAATGAATTTCATTCGATCTAATTTATTCAGCTTACTTTCTGTTTACATTAACATTTCACAACCTGAATACAAAATTGCATGTATTGTATGCACATGGTTGTATTGTTCGGCTTGTTTATTCATTTTATTTATCAAGCTACTTTTGTCATGAATAATATAATTGAACTAAATCAAATATGAATCATTAATACGCATGTAGTTTGTCCATTGTTACTTTATTTTTTTGTTCAATTCTTGGTTTGGACTTTTTTTTTCCTTCCACAGTTTATACTCTTGTGAATGCTCAATTTGTTCTAGTTTTTGTGTGCATTTTGCTTATTTATATTTTACTTTTAAAGCATCATGTTGTTTATTTGTTTGTTTAATCTTTAATAAATTTAAGTGTTTTAATTTTGTGTTCTATTGAAATATGAATATGATCATGAACTTCGCCCCACCTATATCACTTTCAATAGCCGAATAGTATCATCAGCTCCTATAAATAATGTGACTCAAAATCAATTACATAATGTTGAGCTTGGTATACGAGTCACATGGAGATATTTACCAGATGAAATGAGTATTTTCTACTTTCGTGTAAATACTTTCAGTACAATTAAGAGGGTACCCTTGTATACATTACAGATCGGCTGTGGAGGATACCTCTATTTTTGAATTCCTTATGGAATAAGGATTACCTTTCCAATTTGACAATCCGATAAGGTTTAAGCTGGTTTCATATGAATAGTTTAGGAATACCAGCACAAAATTTAATCTGTCATCTTTTTCTATGCTAAAAATTTTTCCCAATCTAGATGACTTATTGGCTGAGAAAGAACGATACAAAGCTCTTAGCGGTGAACTGGATCAAACTTTCGCAGAACTCACGGGTTATTAATAACATGCAGTCAGGATATTCATTACCATTATCTTCATTTCCAGAAAACGAGACTGGTCGTAAAGATATTATTAACCTGTTCAAAAAATTCAAACTATATCTTCAAATCTGTGCTCTAGAGAGTACTATTATGTTATATTCAATTTGCAATACTTCACTTCTGCAAAATATGCTTTTATTATTCGTTACTACCTGCACCAACTTCTTTACTGTCATCTTCCCCCCCCCCATTCACCTTCTTTCAATCTAAACAATACGATTTTAGGCGTTTATATATAGTAGCCTATCTAATCACTGCACTAAACTAACGAAATCAATAAACTCGTTTTCCCACATGAGAGTTTTTCTTTTTATCGACAATTCTAAGATAAATATTAGCTATTCAAATTCATAAATATGTAGACAAAAAGTTTGGTTTGATATTTCTGAAACCATAAATAAATATGGGATTCGAAGTTTTACATAGTACTGGTTGTGATTTTTATGATAACAGCCGAATTTTATTACAAATGTGGACAATTGTTGTGCTATCTCCTGATGTACGTAAGTGTTGCTAGCATAACCACTGATACTATCTATACTGGAAGTGTATCGACTCTTGTTAGGTCTAAGATTATTACTCCGTATTGGCCGTGAACAAACACGTTTTCTCCGGATTTCAGTCTTTATAGTTAGATCTTCATTCAGTAATTTATTTTCGTTAATGGATTTGACCTGTTGACGCTGATGAAATTGTTTAGCTGTATCAAAATTCGCTCCTTCAACTTTCGTAATCTAAATGTATCTAGGAAATACTACACACATGTAAGGACTGGTTTGATAGAACCTAGAATTATGGGAATTATTCACCAAGAATTTAGGTCATAGACTTTAATCTTTAATGGCTGGACACGATACTTAACTTCCTGGTTCTGTATGACATTGATTGCCGGATTTCCGCCTAAGTTTGTTCCTCAAGGAAATTCAGGTAACCAGTTCGGTGTTCTTTCGTTTGTAACCAGTGCTAAGAGTCTTCCAGGTTCTCATAATTCGCTCAACTAGACTGATCTGCAGAATGATTGTCAGTTTTCGGTTTTCCTGGTACACGTGTTAGTGACACGTGCATCAACTGAAGGAGGTTATCAGTTTGGTCGATTGGTAAGATTAAACTCTCTCCATAGAAGTTAGATGTATGATGGCAGGTGTGCTATGTCTCGATGGTGTTAGTAACTCCAACCTTTTTATGATTGGTGGTTTATATGATAAACGTGATGCTTTTATCTGCATCTAAAAGACCGCCACATGAGTAGGAATTATCAGTAGCATGGAACAGAGAACGAAGGATGGGAAAATTATTTTCCGTTAATGGATAAAGGCAATTTTAAGTGAGAGTTTGGTTAATTGCTTCAGAAGTTGGTAAAACTTATAGTGAGTGTACTTTGGTAATATCCTCGTGAGATTTTATGAGCCTAAAAATTTCAAAGTTACACGTACATTGCTGTGTAACAACATTACTGACAAATTGATTGATGCTATTCTAGCCGATCTCCTGGACATCACACAACCTACAGACTCTACGCTTGTTCATCAGACTTATTAGTTATTACTCCGCATTTTTGCCATCCCTGAATGAAAAGTGAGCATTATTTAATCAACTACTACTTACCAAGTAGCACATGCCACAAAATTAGACTCGACGGTTCAACGGGCGATTCATTTCCTTCAAAATAAATGGCCATTGTCTTTAGATGAAGAATTGAAACATCTATGTAGTGTGGCGTCGAGTCACTTTTGACTATGATCACCACTACAAGAAGATTGCGTATCAGAACAGGCTAAACCTCCGAGTAAACCAGAAATCCGAAGACGATTGAGGGTTGTGGCGAGATATATTTGTTGGCGATCTCGTGGTACTGAAAGAATACCGAGATCGTGCCAAAGGAGTACAAGCGGAACTACTGAGCAAACGTTAGTTCGTGCAAGGTCACAATCAACGAAAGGAAGAATGTCTTTGGTAAAGTTGAACAAACAAGTACGGTAAAACAATCACTGGTACAATTGGTTATAATAATTGTTTCCATTACACCAATCGCGTTCTCTTGATAAAAGTAGGTCACTACACCTATTTCAACGAAAGCAATCTATGTGCTCAGTCGAAGAATGCCTTATATCTGGGGAAGGAGTGGTGATACCACAAAAATTACAGAAGAAAGTACTTAAACGATTTCATATTAAACATATAGTTACGCATACTAACCAAAAATGGACGCGAATGGAGTTTGAATAAGTATATTTCGCACAATCGTTGATCGGAACAGATAATCAAGGAAATGCAGCCAAGGAATTGAAGGCGAGAGAGCGAAACGAAACGAATCGGACAAGTTATGTGAGAAAAGTCGAATTTATCAAGCCTTACTCAATATTTATAATCAGTGAGAAAATAAATTACAGACACGTAACGAATAGGATAAGCAATCAACACAAATACGATCATTTGAAAATAGTCAGGGTTTATAATTCAGTAAGTGACAAGGTGCTAATGTGGTTTGGGAATAATGAATAGACCGGTCTGACCAGAAACTAGAACAGCCTATATGTGCAGCAGTGTATTTGTGAGGAATAATCAATGGATCATGTTATGTGTGTTGACAAATCGAAACGGAAAGTCAAATGTCATGCTTTTTAAACGACAGTTTTAAAAGTACTAATGATAATTGTGCAGATTGTGGGTATTAATAATAAATGGAAATAGTAACAAAACTAAATACGTAAGAAATCTGGTTTTACCATCCCTTCAGCAACGTAGAAGACCCAAGGATGACCACCATAAGAAAACAGAACAGCCTAGATACCATCCTAGACGTTTCAATAATTCCAGAAATGATACAACTCGGAACAGAAGCAGTATCACATGAATCTGCATAAAAGTTATTACCACGAGGAAGTAAACGACGGCAAACGAAGACCGTCAAATTCAGAAACAGTGAAAGAACTTCAAAAATAACGAGGTGATAAGGTAGTCGCAAGAATAGTCTCCTCAGGAACGATAACCGCTCACACACTTTCTGCCAATTCGATTTTCTGCATGATCTTTGCCCTCCGGTTAGTGGTCATGCTTTTTTAGTCCGCTAAATTGACATATACCCACGGGTCATATTCTGCAACTATCGTAACAACTTTTTTACTAATTTCGTTTGAGTTGCTTGTTCTACAACAAACATCAAGTTACCTGCAATTCCGTCTCCTGCCTGTCTTAGCCGTTGAGGCTTGACGTGTTGAATATAATTTACTGTAGTCAGTTCCGAAGAAAACTGATTGTATTAGAGTAGTTAATTCGTTTTCGTACCTAGTGCGCAACATCGTGAGCCGTAATGAATCCCCCAAAAAGACAAAATAGTTGTATCTCTGACTGTCACAATACGACGAGTCAGTGAAGACTATGATATGAATTCCACGTAAGATCTTATAGATTAGGTAGTCATATATTGACATATCTACAATCTTAGGAATAGACTTATCGGTAAACTAGAAAGGATAAATGTAGTCACACCGAGTCAGACCATAATTATACAGATCTTTGCAGCTGTTAGCCCACCGGCAATCATCGAAACGAAAAAGATAGTCAAACACTCCAATAAAGAAGGGCGAGATGGACCAAAAAACAAACCGCTGAAACACTGGATTCAGACACAAAGGTGACCACAAAGATGCTCAACGTTCTATTTTAGAAGGATTTAGTAACAAGATCAAGTACCGAAAGACCAGAAAGGAGGATATACCATCAAGATGCCGAAAAAATATTATATAAACATCACACTACTGTCGGTGAAAAGAAAACTTTTCAGTAATGCTGCTGAAGCAGTTGAAATACGCAGTAGACACCCAACTTCCAGATCAACAGGCTATATTACGAATGGACTGGTCGTGTACAAACCAAATGGCGGTACCACAAATCATCGCTGAACAATCAATGGGATGGATCTCGTCACTAAACCTCGACTTCATTGAACATGAGGCGTTCGACAGTATGGATAAAAGAAACTTATGAAAACTTCTTCGACACTATAGAGTGAGTAGCTGAGGTCATCAACATCATCCGGAGTCTTTACGACGAACCACAATGCACATTCATGTATCGAGGTCCGCTGACAGATTTAATCCAAGTGAATATCGGTGTTAGACAAGTTTGCTAACTCCCTCTCTCTCTTTTTTCTTATGGTGGTCGACAGGATTATGAAGACATATATCTGAGGGGAAGCACGGAATACAATGGACGGCTTGCATGCAAATAGACGATCTGGTCTTCGCAGATGACCTGGTCATTCTATCCCATACACATCAACAAATGCAGGTCAAGACAACAAGTGTAGCAGCAATAGGCCTCAGCATATATATAAGGGCAAAACAAGGACCCACAAACACAACACGGAGAGCACCAATCCAATCACACTTGATGGAGAAACTCTGGGACAGGTGGAAACTTCCAGGTATCTGCCTTGACAGCATAATCGACGAACAAGGTGGATCCGATGCAGATATAAAGGCAAGGATTGCCGAAACAAAAGCAGCATTCCTACACTTTAAGAACATATGGGACTCAAAACAACTGTCAACCAATATCAAATTCAGGATCGTCAGTACGAGCGTCAAGACAGTTCTACTGTAGGGTGCTGAAACTTGGGGAACCACTACAACCGTCATCAAGAATGCGTATGAATTTATAAACAATTGTCTACAGAATATACTCAATGTCCGATAACTGGATACCACCGGCGACAGCCTACTGCAGGAGAAGACAGATTAGCTTCCAACTGAAGTGGAAATGAGAGGAAAACGCTGAAAGTGGATGGGATAAATATTTCATAATAAGTTAAGCTCTAACTTGGAATCTTAAATACAACAGCAAAGGAAGCAGGCCAAAAAATAATACGCCATGAAGTGGAGGCACTTCAAAACCACTAGAAAAGATTGGTCGGGACGGATTTGTTTCAGAAATCTTGGTTGTTGGTTTGCGCTACACTAGGTGTGACAGGGTTAAGATATTAATTAAAGAGTCGGTTTACTCAGTCTTAGTAATGTACATATTAGGAGTTGTGCTCAATCCACATGACCTAATTTATTAGGCGACTGATATCTCTTGTAAAATGTACGGTGGACTTCTACCCGATGATTCTAGGGACAGCTGCCTAACCTGAAAACGAGAGGCTTTAGCATTCAGGCCTTTGTAATGTAAGACGAAACGTGATGATGATGTACACGACTCTATGAAATGATTATGGAACGAGCGTATTTACTGTTTTCTGTCCTAGATTGATCAAGGCAATTTAGAGGACATAACACGGGAGTTCAAAATACTAGAATAAACGTGGAATTAATGATATTCATGCTTAAGTGTGTTAAAAGTGTATGATAATACTGAGCCCTCACCAAAAATAAATTATCAATCTGAACAGCCTCTAAAATATGCAGTAAAACACTGGAT